ATTCCACCGAACTTGATGAAAGAGTCCTTTACACCTTATAAAGGAGTAATAGGTGTAAAATTTTAAATCTTAATACCCCATTGTTTCTGTTATCTATCCCTTACTTTTGGTAATTATATCAACTAGGGTTGTGGGGGAAATCAATTGATTAGAGTGTCCTAATCAATTACCTCTCATTAATACAAGCCCACAAGTAAGTGGCCCCACCTCCATAATCATGACATGGCTCTTTCGCCTTGGGAGATAGTTGGTCTGGGACACATTTAGTTCTCTTACATAAGTTCTACCTGACCTTAAACCATTCTAGAGGGTATTGCCAGGTTTTTATCTTGACTATTTTGCCCATCTTTTAAGTTCAAAGCCCACCTCCTCCATGAAGTCTTTTCTGACCATCTTAGATTATATTCTAGTTGGTTTTCCTCCTCTGGATTTCTACCATTTGTTCATTACTGACTTTCTTTGTAAATATGTCTCATACTCCCAACTAGACTATAACCTCTTCAGAACCCAGAAGGGTGTTTTATACTTCTGTGTATTTCCTACATCCCCTAGCTCTGTGACTTTTATAAAGAAGGTACTCCATGTGTGGCTATTTTTTTAATTGGTTGATTATTACACTTTGAAAAAATCCATATCCTCATCCAATGCCTTATACACATCTCATGTACACATTGAATGCAAAAACATTCTATAAATCAATAAACAAGTAAGAAAGTTGATTACATCAATATCAGCTAGTTCTTTTCCTTTTTTTTTTTTTTAAAAGAAAGTTTTATTGATTTTTTTAGTAACACAACCATTTCCCAATATCTGGCCAGGCCCTCACTCCAAAACAACCATTTCTTGTAACAAACAAACAAACAAAAAACCAAAAAACAGCTGGGCAAAACCAGCTGACAAAGTGACTTGGTCTGATAGCACATGTAGTACTCACTCTTCCTCTCCCACTTCCGCACAAAAAAGAAGGAAGTGCGTTTCACCATCGGTTCTCTGGGACTAAGATTGGTCATTGCAGCTAGTCAGAATTCAGGGGCCTTTCGGTGGTGTTTTCAGTACATTACTAGAGGCATCATGCATATCATTCTCCTCATTCTTTCTTTTCTCTGGGTCACTTCATACAGATCTTTCTGTGCTTCTCTGAATCCTTCATATTTGTTGTTTCTTTCATTGGAATGTTGTTCCATCACATTCAGAGACCACCGCTGGTTTTGGTCACTCTCCACAATGGGATCACAAGTTAGCTTTTTGCCACCAATACTGTTACAAAGGGCTCCCCAAATATCTAATTGAATGTGATGTACTGGATGTACTGATGTACTCAGTGACAGATTCAAAGACATAGCTCTAATCTGTACCAGTAGGGTTCAAAAGCCCAACACCCAAAATGAGCTGAGGCTTGGGGGCAATGCTAAGGACAGCAAAAAGGAACTTTCTTTTAAGCCGTGCTCAAAGTAGTTAGATGAGTAAGGAAGAGACACAGCCATTGATGGGGTGAGGTGGGGACAGGGAAAGTGTAATGTTACTGAATGTCAGAGGAAGGCAGAAATACTCAGTTCCTACCTTGCTTCATGTTGTCCATCAGGAAAAATAATTTCCCAGTGGGAAAAGAGAGACAAACATTGTCAAGAAAGAATTAAGGCCCAAGATGAGAAAGAAGATAGTAAAAAACACTTAGTCACTTAAAAAAAGTTGAAGTCTTTAGGTCCCTAAGACATCCAGTCTCAGGGTGCAGATGTGACTTGTAAATGTGATCAAGAAATCATGGTGGCTGATCTTTGAGAACTAATATATTAGGGTTAGAGGTTATTGTTAGAATTATCTGGTAAAGGTCCCTATAACTGAAGACAAGTAAAGGTCACCCAACTTATAATAAGGGGAACGTGATAGAGTCCGGAAACTATAACATCAGTAAAATGGATATTGAACCAGGAGTGATTGTAGCTTCATGAAGAACAAATGAGTCAAATTAATCTCACTGCCTTTTAAAAACATGATTCCTAGACTATCCTGGGAATTCAAGGGAAGTTTGGGGACAGTGCATCTGGAATTCAACCACCTCATATCTTTTGATTCAATCTTTCTGGAGAAGATGGGGAAATTTGAGTGGGATCGTTGCACAGTCCGATGGATTGCCAAAGGTAAAATTGCTGAAGGTGGATTTCTCTATGTAAAGAGATTGTTGATGTATTGATAGGAGTAGTCTTGGTGGTTTGACAGGACTTTTCCCTTTGTCAGCAAAGGAGTACTGCCAGATCATGAGGTGAGCATGCTTGCTTCTGATTCAGTGGGATTCTACTCTCTTGTTTCAGTTTGCTTAATGACAAAACATCTGAGTCAGTGGAGAGGCAGGGGGGATCTGGAGCAGGGTAGGGGTGGATGTCCGAATAGAAGGCCAGAGGTTGTCCTGAACAATCAACTCCCAGCAGTCCTGAGAGCATGCCTACTGATACTCCTCTGGCCTTCTGCTTGCCTTCAAGTACAGTTACCCCTTCCACACTGAGACTTTCCCCATTATGGTTTCAATATATCACAGGTCATGGGAATTTTGGGGGAGTTTTGTGGAAGCCACAGATGACATGTGAAGGCCAGCAGACAACACAGAAAAAGTCTAGAAACTCAGAAATGCATAAAATATATGCATAGTATTGTATCATATCAACATATTTTATCTTTTAATGCCATAATAATTCAGACTTCTTCTCTGATATGAAGATCTTGGTGATATAGAAGAGATAACTGTATAGATGACAAAGAAGAATGCATTATTCTAGTTGTCTTCTGACCTGGAAAGCTCACAGCTGAAGTCTTGGGTCTAGATCTTGGCTCAACTCATTGAGGAGAAAAATCACAAACTGGAGAATTGCAGTGTAGAGGGAAGGGGATGGTGACCAAAACATTAAGAACCTTGGTACCTAGCCTAATGCCTTTCTCATAGCAGGTGTTTAATGTATGTTTATTCTTGATACAGAATAGGGAAAACACTCTCTCCCTAGGAGCTTCTGGAGCCAGGCTAGAAGGAGCCTTACAGGCCATCAAGTCCAACCCCTCCATTTTACATATGAGGAAACTGAGGCACAGAGAGGTTAGGTGATTTTCCCAGAGTCTCATAGTTAATAAGTGACTGAGGCAGGATTAGAATAATAGATCTTCCTGACTTCAAGTCTTATCCATTTCACCAAGCTTCAGGAGGGGAGAGAAACTGATCCTATAACCACTGACATCCTGTTGGCCTGGCCTGGCCAGGTCACATCTCCTCTTCAGAGAATCTGTCCAGAGCTAGTTTTCTTTTCAAGGTGTATGACGCCCCCAAAACTGCACGGTGATAAAGAATGGGTGACTTCCCTACCAGAATTCCTAGGTAGTTGAGTCATTATCAGCATCTCCCTGAATGACTCAAAAGGGGGGCATCCCAGCATGTGCCTGTGGGTGTGGGAAATGGTTTCTCCAAGGTGATTTGGAATCCATTGCTTTGTAAAGGTGGTTGTGTTGATGGGAGATACTCCGTAGGGAGCTGCACCTGAGCCTGCCACCATGCCTGGCAGATGGTGACCTTGTTAGAGAGAATTCTACTGTTCACTTGTGCATTGCCTGGAAATTGGAAAGCAGCAGAAAAGGATCAAATAGGATTTGGGGCCAGATGGGAGTGAGCAGAGGAGCCCAGACAGGGAGAGAGATGTTGGGTTCTTCTTTGAGCTTTTCAGGAAAGGTGAGCTGGAGGAAAAACTGGGCGAAGGTAAGATAGCACTTAACACCAGTATGGTGGCTGGAAATGAGCCAGCTGAGGATGTCCTGGGAGATTGTGTATCTGGTAGGAAGAGTATGTAGTGAGCTGAGGGCCAAAATGGGTATGAAAATAATAATGACTAGCATTTCTGTAGAGCTTTAAAGTTTACAAAGCCGGGCAAATACCTCATTTTGTCCTCACAACAATCTTGGGAAGCAGGTGATATGATGATGATGAAGATACAGTTTTTTTCCCTTGCAAGATAAGGGTTTTGGACTAGATGACCTCTGAGACCTTTTCTGGTTCTAGAGCTAAGAACCTAAGTGTTTGATCCTATGATGGTGATAGTGATGTCAAAAGAGAAAGTGGGAATAATTGGGAAGATCTGATCATGCTTCATGTGGGAGGCTGTGGCTAAGCTGGCTGTTCTTTGAAGGGAATCTACAGTGTAAAGATGCTGGGATATTCCTGCCTCCTCCACCCCTTGCTTCCCCCCACCCCTGACCTTGGGACACTGTCCTAGCCCAGTTTTCAGGGTCTCCATGACAACCATGTCATCCTGGTCTTCTTTTGTCAGGAAAGGAGGTCATTGGGTTTTTTTTGGTGTCCAGGGATTCCCTGAAAATTGATCCCTGGGATACTAAGTGTGTTAATGAGGCCACTCTTGAACAGGCCAGTCAAAGAGAACTTGGACTGTCTTGTGGTGGTGGTGGTAGGGGGAGAGGGGCACCACTCAAAATAATAGGACAAATATTAGGAAGAAAAAGCAATCTGCAGAAAGCCAGAGCCTGACAGGATCAGGAACAACACGCATTATTGGTTTATGGGGGACAAATGTTGCCAGATGAGTCTTTATCTGACCCGCGCGCCCCCTTCTCAGAAAAGATGGAAGAGTGAGGAAATGAAGGGAATAGGAACACTCCATCTTGATTTCACTTAAACATTTGGATGATCATCCCATCAAATTTTACTCCCCAGATTAACTCCAATTTTCTTGGATGGGACTGCGGTCATGTGGCCTGGAAATTGGCAGGGGGACCATGGACAGCAGGAACGAAAAGAAGGACGGCTGGGGCAGGCTGCGTAGTAACCTCTGTTTCAATTCAGCGCAGCCGCAGGACGCTCCTCCCCAAATTGCAGCCCCCTCCCCCAGCCCCGCTGAGATTTGGGGCTCACCGGAGACGCCCCACCAAGACAGCTACCTCTCGCCCTCGTCGACGGCCCCTCTCATGCAGTAGAAAGGCTGCTTACAACTGGCATCAGGTGCTTTGGGGGAGCTTTGCAGGGACGTGGCAGAGGGGCTGCGGGCTAGGGTGTCTGGGAAGGTGTGATATCACCGCGAGCGCTGGGCTGACATCCTGTCACAGAGATACCTTTCATTTGGGGGATTGGTTTCCATTGTCTCTCTGGCTTGGCTGGCAGGCTTGGCAGGCCTGGCAGGCTTTTCTGCCAGACAGATGGCTCCAGTACGTGGCTGGTGTTTTAGAGGGTGGAGTGGAACTGAGCTGCTTTCAAGGGCACCTGAGCTCCGTTTGGAGCTGAAGCCGCACAATATGAGAGACGCACTTCGGTCACCTGGAAGATCATGGAATCTAAGGCCCAAAGCAAGTAAGGACCCCTGAGGCCATCTAGACTAACCCCTTATTTTATAGACTAGGAGACTGAGATCCAGCAAGGTGAAGTGCTCAAGGGTGAAGGGTCATAGCTTGGAGATGATAGCCATGTCAGAGATTGTCTTGTCCAAACCCATCACTACAGATGAGGAAACCAAGGTCCAAGGTCACACAGGCAGTAAGAGCAAGGGGCAGGATCTGAATCCAGGTCTCAGACTTTATAGCCAGGATAGATACAGGATGAATTGGAGGTCATCTCTGAGGGAAGGCAGGGACATTGGGGATGGGAATGTCTTGCAGAAGGTAAGATTTTAGGTAGAACCTGGGGGAAGTCAGGGAAGCCAGGAGGCAGAGATTAGGAGACAGAAAAATGAATGTCAGGAGGATTTTGTATTTCATCCTGAGGCAATGGGATTGCCTGATCTAATAGAGGTTGGGATACCTGGATTCCCCAGAACCCATCCTTACCTTCTCTAACTGTGTGAATATGCAGGTTGTTGATTTCTTCCTGTGATTCCTCTGAAGTGGGTCCACCCAAGGTCCTGGCCTCTTTCCTCTGAATCTTTTCAAACAGTCTTTGGGTCTAGAAGGCACCATGGTTCAGTGGCAAAATCCCTGCCTTGAGAGTTAGAGGATCTGGGTTCAAATTCTACCCCTGACCTTTGACACTTGTGTGACCTTGGAACTTATTTTTTTCATCTGTGAGATGAGGGGACTTTCCTGAGGTTTCTTGTAGTCCAGAATTTGTGATCCCAAGGTCTCAGTTTCTTTATCAGTAAAATAAAGAGGTTGGATTGAATAACCTCTCAGGTTGTTTCCAGCCCAAGTTTATGACTCTATGACCAAGGAAGCTCATGGACCACTCTGCTATCACTCGTTGTCTATCCATGACTATTGCCCCCTCCTTCTTTTCCAGTGTCCTGAGGGGGCCTTTTCTACCATTGCTCACATACAAGCCATTGTGAGCCTTACAGCAAATCCAGTTTACATTTTTCTGGTGTTCTTTGGGTCACCTGCAAATTGAGACTTTGGAGCTCAAGGCATCCATGATTCATGGTCACTGAAAGACCAGAGTTGGGCTTTGGAGACAATGAGCATGGACAGATGAAGCAGGGACATGGCACATGTCATTTTCTCAGCTAGTCTCCCAGCTTTGCCAGAGTCCGGGGGCATTACTGTCTAAAGCCAACAGAGCCTTTACCAGCCTTAAAGGCTATTAGGGAGTTTGTAGCTGGAAATCTCAGAGCTGCCCAAGGCACTTAGAGCCTAAGGGACTCGTCCTGGGTGAGGGTCAGAGGGAGAATCTGAACTCAGCCTTCTCAACTCCAAGGACATTCTCTCTTCACTAAGCTCACCTTTCCCCAATGTTTGCCTTCTGGATTTCTGCTTGGAAGACCTAGATTTGAACACAGGATCCGCCACTAATCCCCTCTGTGTGATGCTAAAAAAGTCTGCTCCCTGAGCCTCACTTGTTTGATGGGTAAAATGAGGGGGTGGCTAATCCCTAAGGCCCCTCCCACCCCCCAGTCATTGCAAGCTTCCTATGCTAACCCCATTCCAATGCAATCTTTGCCCTCCTTTGAATTCCTATCACATTTATTCCACTTTTAATAGTTCTCCATGTGCTGCAAGTGTAAGACAGGCAGCTGAGCTTGGACCAGAAGACACCGGCCTTGGTGTCAGAAGATCTGGGTTCGAATCCAGCTGAGCTGCGTGAAATTGGGTTAGTCACTCTCCCTTTCTGGGTCTCAGTTCCCTCATCTGTAGAATGAGGGGTTTGGATCGCAGATGTCACGCTGGAAGGAATCCTAGAGGCTGTTTAGTCCACACCACCCTCTGCTTTTACAGATGAGCAAACAGAGGTGAAGAGGTAAAGTCATTTCCTCAAGGTCACATGGATAGGAAGAGCTGGCATTTGAACCCAGATCCTGGCCTCCAGATTCAGAGCTCTTTCCACCACACCAGGGTGTGAGCTTCCCTGGGGCCATAACCAGCTTCACTAATTTTGTCTTCCCCCCATGGTGCCTAGAACAGTGCTCCCTCCCGAAGCAGATACTTACGTAGTGAGTCCTTCTTGAAAGAATGGGAAGGGCCTGGCTCCCCTCCTCTGCAGCTCTCCAGGAAGGACTCCCTACCGCAGAATATACTATTTGCCTTGGAGCACAATGACAAGCTGGGTTGAAACAGAGTGAACAGGTGATCAATGGCTCCATGCTTCTGGCCAGGACGAGGTAAAACCCAAGCTGTTGATAGAAGAATTGGGTCCTTTCCACACATATTTGCTCCTGAACAGATGAGGAGCCAGGTTTCCCTGGCATGCTCTCTCTCTCCCTGTTTATGAATTAGGAAATGGGCATCCAATTGGCTTGGCCAGAGCCAGCAACTGTCCACCTTGGAAAGGTGCAGAGAGGTGGTCAGATTGGATTGTAATATGCATCTGTTCCCTTGACCAGCCTCCAACAGGAGATCAGTCACACATCCCTTCCTCCTCCTGTTTCTGGGGCCTGATGGGAAAGTCAAACCAGGTCCAAGAGGGTCAGATTCGTATTGTCCCGGACAGGGCATTCAGAAGACTTCTTCTGTCCTCCCAAGAAGAGGGAGGGAGGAGCCCAAGGAAAGAGTGAGATGGAGAGTGAGAGTGAGTGAGTGAGAGAGAGACAGACAATGAGAGAGAGAGTGCGTGAGACAAAGAAAAAGAGAGACAGACAGGCAGAGAGAGAGAGAGAGAGAGAGAGAGAGAGAGAGAGAGAGAGAGAGAGTGAGAGAGAGAGAGAATGAGTAAAGGGAGATAATGTGCAAAGTCAGCACAGGTTACCTCTTCTGGTAAACTGTTGGCAGCAAGGCATGTTGGGGAGACCGCTTATTCTGAATAGCCTCTTTTTACAGATGAGGAAACTTAGGACCATGTGGCAGTGGAGTAAGGTAGCAAGGGCCACTTGCTTCAGCCCCTTCATTTTACGGATGAGGAAACCAAGCCCTAGAGAGATTAGGTGACTTGTACAAAGACACTTAGGTAGTAAAAGTAAATAGTAAATGACAGAGTGAGGATTTGAACCCATGTTCTCTGATTCACAACCCAGTCTAGGTTTTTAACAAGCATTTTACTTTTCTTTTTAGGCAAGGGGTTAAGTGACTTGCCCAGGGTCACATAGCTAGTGAGTGTTATGTGTCTGAGACTGGATTTGAACTCAGGTCCTCCTGACTCCTGGAACTCTATCCACTGGGCCACTTAGCTGCCCTCTTTAACAAGCATTTTAAAAGTGCCTATGATAGCCCAGGCACTATTCTAGGCTCTGGGAATTTGAATTAAAAATAGTTCCTTTTTTTCTATAATGCTTAGCCCAGTATGTGGCACATAGTAGGCACTTAATAAATGCTAATTGACTGACAGACTTTCCAAGATTTCTGAATTTCCACTTGAGGGGATGAGAAGGCCTATGAATGGGGTATCTCTTGCCAACTAAGAAAACCCAGGTGTGGGTGTGGGGATTCCGAGGCTCAGATGAAGCCCAACCTGTCTCTGAGGAGACAGCAAGCCTTCAGCTTCACGGGGGAAGCCACATAGTCAGGCCAGGTAGCCTTCCTTGGTGTTGTGGGAAAACCACTAGACTTGGCATAAAAAGATCTGGGTTTGAGGTCAAACTCAGTCACTTATTAGTGTGATTATGGACAAGTCTCCTCTCCCTGCCCACATTTTTCACATCTACAAAACAGAGGGATTTTGCTAGATCATTTCTCAGGTGCTGTCTGGATCTCATATCTGGGATGCCCAGAAGTAGAGGGATGATGAGATATGGAGGGAAGATGTCTGGATAGGATGAGTGATTCCTTCTAGAACAATGGGAAAGTTGGAAATCCCTTTTCTCTGCCCTCATCCCCATTGACCTCTCTCCAGCATTTGACATTGATGGCCATGGTTTCCAAGACACAAGGCTTTCCTGGTGCTCCTTCTATCTCCCCAGCAGCTCTTTCTGGTTCCCCCTTCCCTGGGTCCTCTGGGGCTCTCTAAGGCTCTGTCCTCTTTCTTTTCCATACTTTCTCTTTGGTAATCTCAGCTACACCCATAGCTTCAGGCCCCCTGTTTATGCTGATGAGCCCCAAATCCATATGTTTAGCACCAATTCCTCCCTGGAGCTTTTGCCCCACATTTCTAAATGTCTATTGGACATTTCCATCCAGAGGCTCTACCTCTAACTTAATATGTCACTGATGGAGCTCATGGTCCAATGGACTCAGAGTCATCTTGGCCCCTCAGTAGCTGTGTAACCTTGGGCTATGTCAGCTGTCTCATTTAATATGGAAATTCATCAGCTAATCATATTTCTCCAGATTTATTTCATCTTTCAGTTAGACTGGGTAAACCATTTGTTCTTCCAGAGGCTCAATTTCAAAATGGTGATAATAATGCCTACAATCACAGGACTATGTGGGGTGGAAAGTTCCATGGACACGGGAGTTATTATTAAGCTCCCGTAAGGCCCTCTCCATTTCCTAACCGTGGTATGTAAGTGATCCAAGGCTCTTGAAGGATATTCTAGTGAACATGAAGCTCTGGAAGGTCCAGGAAATAGGACCTAGCTAAGTTAGGTGAGGCACACAGCAGCTCTTGAAGGCCAGCCACTAAAGCTCAGACGGGGCTCTGTCTGTGTCAGTGAAGGGAAAATTCACAAACAAAATCATGGATATGTAAAATATTGAACTATCACAGCCAACTACCTTCTTATACATTATAAACAGGATGTGTGATATCTCTATGAAAAGCACCATGTCGGATTGTATCTAGGGATGATTTTGGAGCCAAGAAGACCTGGGTGCTAGTTTCGCCTCTGACCTAGACTGACTGTATTGATGTTACTTCTGACCTAGACTGTGTGACATTGCATAAATCACTTCATCTCTTGATGCCCAGGCAATTCTGTAAGACTATAAGTTACCAACAGATTGGTGATCTGAATAGGTAGAAAGAGTATTCACTCTGAGAGTTTCTCACGTTAC